CCCCCCCACCCCCCCCCGACCCCCCCACTGCGCCCCCGCAGATACCGTCGCGCCAGCGAGGCTCTCCACGCCCAACTCCTGGCGAACGACCTCGTACCCACCGTAAACGTCGGCTCGAGATCGGGCGTCGGGAAGTCTTCCCCGTCGCCGTCATCGGAGCCGTCCTCCACCCTTTCCTCCTCCTCGTTGAGGCGGAAGTCTATGGGGAGCGTCACCGCGGCCCCCGGTAGCGGCGTAGGCGACGCCTCTTCGTCAACATCATCCTCTCGGGCGTCTTCCCCGAAGTCTTCCGGAGGGCGGAAACTCTGAGAATTGAATGTATGGCAGTTTTTTTTGTGTGTGTGTGTGTGTGTATTTTTTTTCATTTTCGCTTGCCGGTGTACGCGTTGAGCTCGGGATGGCCCGGGCGATTTTCAGCGCCCAAATGCGGCAGTAGGAAGAGGCACCGGTAGCGGTGAGGTATCTCCAACCCTGAATCATCGTGGTGGCGGCAGCGTAACTCTGGTATTTTTTTTGTCGTCGTACCCTACACGCGATGACGGTGCCTGTCATGGTTTGACGGCATGTCAGGTATGTCGGGTGGTACGGTATTTTTTCGCGGAATGTGTTTTGAGAATGTCATGAGTGAGCCGCCACGCAGCTACGATGCCATGTGCCCAGAGCATTATGGCCGTGCGAGAACACAGGATGCCATGTCGTGCCGTGTTGGTTTCCGGCGGCGGGGTCCCCGTCGTTGCTTTTGGTGATGTTGTTGGCGGACGAGACATAATCCGTGTCACCCTTTCGACACGGGGTCCTAACGGAGCAGGGCGGGCAATAGCCCTACGACCTCGTACGCCAAAAGTCATTGCCTCCCTTTTTGCACGTGGGCACAATATAATGCTATCTGCTTCATGGCGTATTCGAGAACCCCATGTTGATTCTGTCTCCCGCCCTGACCTTAGCAGTGGTCCGGGGACCCGTGTTGTCGTAGATAACCCGCTCTTCCGGCAGGAGGTAGGGGGGGAACCAATGAGGGAGGGAGGGGGATGATGCCAGGTGTGTCTGACCCCCCCGCCCCCCCCGAGGTCAAGGTCTGACGACTACGGCATGTGTCTTCATGAGTACACCCACCCATCTCAGCTTTTCGGGGACAGGGGGGGG